GCATATAAGATCAAGTACACATTAAAGAACAAAAAGTACTTTCAGCAGAATTTGTATTGAGGTAGTATTTTATTTTTATTTTCTTTCTTTCTAAGAGATGGGGTCTTGCAATGTTGCCCAGGCTGGAGTGCAGTGGCTATTCACAGGCACGATCCCACTACTGATCAGCACGGGTGTTTTGACCTGCTCCATATCTGACCTGGGCCTGTTCACCCCTCCTTAGGCAACCTGGTGGTCCCCCACTCCTGGGAGGTCACCATATTGATGTGGAACTTAGTGTGGGCACCCAATCAGCATAGTGCACTACAGCTCAGAACTAGGCTCAAGCGATCCTCCCACCTCAGCCTCCCGAGTATCTGGGACTACAGGCAGGTGCCACTGTGCCCGGCTTTTTCTTTTCTTTTCTTTTCTTTTTTTTTTTTTTTGAGACAGTTTCACTCTGTCACACAGGCTGGAGTGCAGTGGCATGATCTTGGTTCATGTAAACCCTGCATCTCAGGTTCAAGCAATTCTCCTGCCTCAGCCTCTTGAGTAGCTGAGATTACAGGGGCCTGTCACCACGCCTGGCTAATTTTTGTATTTTTAGTAGAGACAGGGTTTCACCATGTTAGCTGGGCTGGTCTTGAACGCCTGATCTCAGGTGATCCACCTCCCTTGGCCTCCCAAAGGGCTGGGATTACAGGTGTAAGCCACCATGCCTGGCCTGTATTAAGGTGGTATTAATAAAAATGTTCTATGAGGATATCTGAGCTAATTATTTTTAATAAACTACAGTTTGAACTATAAAGAAATCGCTGAACTTGTATATTATACTAACGGTTAGAAGAATGTCAAGCAGCAGGTGTGGAACAGATTCTAAAAGCCTGTCTGCCTTACCAAGTCATCAAATGGAAGCAACCTTGACCAGATCTGAGCATAGACAAATTGCTAGAAAGATTTTTATTTATGAAAGCATTCTTTACTTGCTGTTACATAAGAGGCATTCAGTCAGGACAGCTTTGTGAAATTTGATACCTCTCAACCATCTCGTAAGAAAACACATCCATGACAGAGTCAATGTGGCAACTCTAAATGACTGCAAAGTCAGTTTGCTTTCCTAAGTGGCTGAATTTGCATCAACCCTTTGAAACCATGATGGGTTAGATTATGACAAGTTTTATGTTCAAACACATTTTGAAACATGAAGGGCTTAACAGTAAAAGGATTATTTAAAATATTCACGGAATGAGCTTAACATCTAGAATAGAGCTGGCTACACTGACTGGAAGAGGAAATGAAGTTCAACTACCTTCCTCTGCTCTATGTTAGTGAATATCCAGTATAAAACCACTTGTAGAAACAAGTCTGTGAGTGCCTTAGTCCATTTTCACACTGGTCTAAAGAACCGCCCAAGACTGAATAATTTAAAAAGGAAAGAGGTAATTGACTCATAGCCGGGAGGCCTCAGGAAACTTACAATCATGGCAGAAGGCAAAAGGGAAGCCAGGCACCTTCTTCACAAGGCAGCAGGAAGAAGTACTGAGCACAGGAGGGAAGAGCCCTTATAAAACCATTAGATCTTGTGAGAACTCACTCACTACCACGAGAACGGCAGGGGGATGGTTTACTGTCATGAGTCAATTACCTCCATTCAATTACCACCTGGTCTCTCCCTTGACACGTGGGATTTTGGGGATTATAATTCAAGGTGAGATTTAGGTGGGGACACAGAGCCTAACCATATCAGTGAGGTTTCATGCTGTACAAGGTATGACTTGATTTCAGGTAGCAATACAAGGGAATTTAATCAAGCCATTTATAAATGTCTAATTGTTACTAACTTATAAGTGCTAATTTAGGTTTATGAAATTGGATTGTTATGTGTGTTTCTTTGGGAAGAAAAATGAAATTTTTTAATGTGGGATTTCAAATACGTAACTCATACTTGTGGCAGGGATAATACAATGCATCCTTGAAAACAATTTCTAGATGGGCTTTTAGAGATACTAGGAACTTCTGCTTTCACAGACTAGGAATAAGACAGTTATACAGACAGCTAAACAACACTAAGCTTGATGCCACAATATATTGCAAAACAGTGTTGGAAAACAAAGATTAACAGCTCATCCATTACGTAGAGGTACTGTAAGGAAAGACCCAGCTTCGTTATTTTGTAACAAGTGGAGTGTGGATTGAATTAAGTAGACTATGTTGAGAGGAATACTAAAAGTAAAATGTGCTGAAAGGGTAGAAGAGACTGACTCCCAGGAAGGTTTCTTGAAGGAGATTTAAACTGGGCATGGAAGGGTGAACAGGTGTATAATACATTCCAAGCAGATGGCAGCAAGCAGCCTGAGAAAAGGCCAGAGGGCGTATAACTTGGGGGAAGTTCAGGAAAGTCGTGAGTGGTGGGCATATGGTCTGAGGCTGACGTGCACAGGGAAATGCAGATAAGGCTGAAAAGCGAGGTAGGGGTTCAACGGTGGATTGCTTGAATGTCAGACCGACTTTAGATTCTCTTCTGCTGGAGAGAAAAGGCTTTGAATATTTCAGCAGGGTAGTGATAATGGGACCCAGGGAAAATAATTCTGAAGGGAGGGAAGGTGAAAGTGCCCAGGGGCAGGGAGGGCATTGCAAAAGTTCAGATGAGACAGTATGTGAGACGAAAGCAGGGTAGTGGCAAAGGGCAGAGGAAGGAAACCAGGAGCCCTTTCAAAGGTGGACTCAGCAGGAACTGATCAGAGAAATGCAGAGGGTAGGAGTCCAATCTAGTTTGTGGTTTTGAGCGTGAAATGCTGTGTGGAGGTTTTGATGACCACAAGTTTCTTGACTCCCCCCACTCCACTAATGAGAACTGGGATCCAATTCCCTTCCACTTGAATCTGGAACTGGCCTTAATGACAGACTTGTCAAGAGTCTATTGGAATGTGAAGAAAGTGAGGCTACATAACCAAAGAGGTTAGAACAGAAAACCACCACACTGCCTTTGCCTTGGTCCATGGAATTCGTGTTCCGAGTCACCCACAGACAATGAGCCTGCAGTCCAAGGTGAGCTGGGCCTTTGAGTCATCCTCACCTATGTACAGACAGACATGCAAGTTAAAAACCTGGAGCAGATTCCTGTCTCTCTAAATTGTAACAGCAAAAGACACATGAAAGCGTAAGTCATAAAGAAACATTTGGCTTTCAAATCTCATACTCTTTAATGTGTAGAAGCAGTCACCTCAAATATTCAGCTGACTAGGAGGGTCAGGAAAGTACAGTGATAAATAGAAAGTAGTGGTTAAAAATTTGCTCCAGAGAATTTCCATGTATCCCCTCCACACACCCCGTATTACCATGAATACGCATGCGTAAGACAGGTGTTCAGGCCATTTGGAGGTGCACTGTGGTCTTCAGGTGGATTGAATAAACATCAGTAAGAATGTGAAAGAGAAATTCACTTTGGGTAAGAGCAGAATTACCTATTTTCTGGTAGTTATGTGATTTTTTTTCCAGACATAGTCTAAACCATAGAAATACATGGTTACCGAAGAACATGAAAACAAACGCATAGAAAATTTTTTATCTTCATTTAGCCATCATGGCTTTAAACACAACTAAATAGGCTAGCATTTTAGAATTACATCATCACTATGTAGTGACCTTCTATTTTTTAAAAGCTAAACTGGAGGGCCGGGAACGGTGGCTCACACCTGTTGCCAGCACTTTGGGAGGCCGAGGTGGGTGGATCACGAGGTCAAGAGATCGAGACCATCCTGGTCAACATGGTGAAACCCCGTCTCTACTAAAAATACAGAAATTAGCTGGGCATGGTGTCATGCGCCTGTAATCCCAGCTACTCAGGAGGCTGAGGCAGAATTGCCTCAACCCAGGAGGCGGAGGTTGCGGTGAGCCGAGATCGCGCCATTGCACTCCAGCCTGGGTAACAAGAGCGAAACTCCGTCTCAAAAAAAATACCTAGGAATGAGGAACTATGGCATTAGTATAGCTGACCCTTGAACAACACAGGTTTGAACTGCAGAGTTGTTCTTCGCAGATTTTCTTCCACCTCTGCCACCCTTGAGAGAGCAAGATCAATGCTTCCTCTTACTCTCCCACTAAGCCTGCCCAACAAGAAGACAATGAAGATGAAGACCTTCACGATGATTCGCTTCCACCTCATGAAGAGCAAATACATCTTTCTTACAATTTCTGTAACATTTTCATTTGTCTAGCTCATAAGAAGACTATGTAATACATATAACATAATACACGTGTGAATTGGCTGTGTATGTTATTGGTAAGGCTACCAGTCAAAAGTAGGCCGATAGTGGTTAAATTTTGGGGGAGTCAAATGTTGCACAAGGATTTGAACCTGTGCGTGGTAAGGAGGAGCCGGCGTCCCAGCCCTAATATTGTTCAAGGGTCAACTGTAGTAAGAAATATTTGTGTTTTCCTATATTATCCTGGCAACAAAAATATATAAATATTTATTGGTCTTATTTCATAATCAAATTTATTAGCAGATCTGTTTAAGACAGTGAAGAGTTCATACATTTTCCAGCCCTAAAAAGGCCACATGCAATCACATACATTCAACATGTTCCAAGATAGTGTTTAATAATATATATGAGATGCTGCTCCTTATAAACTTTATTATGAAACAAATAAAATAATACATTCCTATTATTATATAAACAAAGAAGTGATACATTAAGAATCCTATTGTTATTTTCTCTTAAGAGCAAAGAGCTGCAGAATCTCTAATATAAAACAGAGGGCATTTGGCCGGGTGCGGTGGCTCACGCCTGTAATCCCAGCACTTTGGGAGGCCGAGGCGGGTGGATCACAAGATCAAGAAATCGAGACCATCCTGGTCAACATGGTGAAACCCCGTCTCTACTAAAAATACAAAAAATTAGCTGGGCATGGTGGCGCGTGCCTGTAATCCCAGCTACTGAGGAGGCTGAGGCAGGAGAATTGCCTGAACCCAGGAGGCGGAGGTTGCGGTGAGCCGAGATCGTGCCATTGCACTCCAGCCTGGGTAACAAGAGTGAAACTCCGTCTCAAAAAAAAAGAGAGGACATTTTCAATGTCCACTTTGCTAAGAAACATGTGTACAAAATGCCTGTAAGTTTCTCATATTATGTATATTTGCTTTAAATAGGAAATTATTTCTCATTTCACTTTCCAAATGAGAAACATTGCCTAAATTCATGACATCCCTAGGATTGTCCTTAGTCTCAACTTCCACATAGAGATGTCTGAAATAGAAAATTTAAATATCAGAATTCAGGAATATAAGCTTTCACATTTAAAAGTGCAGAGAATCCCAACATTAACAAACTATGGTTCCACAAAAATCAAAATTACAACTCAGACATCTCTTAAAAAATAGTAATGTCACTTTAGATTTTACAAACTACAGAAATAACTGAATTATACCACATGCAGAGATTAAGAATATTTCAAGTGCTTCTAAATACCTATTATAAAAAGGTTATCTACTTTACAATATTACGTTCTCTGGAAGATATATAAAGATTACATCAGAGACTTCAGTACTGACAAAATAAAATGTTTACCTTCAAGTTGCATTCTAAAATTATTATGAAGTCTCAACTTCACTGAATGAATAAAAATAAAATGTATCCCACGACAGATTTTTGTGGCAGAAATGAAAACTTTAAAAAAAATACGTGAAACAAAAACAAGATGAGAAATTTCCTGATACATATAACACTATATTCCCTTATCTCAATACTTGGAAACTCAATGTCCTATTTTGTAAAATGGTCATATAAAATGATGCTAAATGTACAAATGAGGTTTAATCAACTGACTGACAATCTTCCATCTCACCATTCATCACTGACAGCATCCAAAACATGCTACCATCTGCCCACAAGGCAGGGTGCAGAGGGGAGAAGACCGGGGCACTAAGGCACAGGTAACTAACTGCCACACGGTGGCCAACAGTGCCAGCCAGCGGCATGGGGACCACACATCTGCCCTCCAAACCGCTGCATGGCCACTCTGCCTGCATCAATGCACCCAGTCCCTTGGATGACGCAGAACTTCCAGAATTTCAGCTTCTTTGGAATTCTCTGAGGGTGAATGCATGTACTCCCATCTATGCATGTCCGAAACAAAAGCAAAAAAAAACATAAAAAATAACGACGCACATATCTCTTTACTTAAAATAAATAAAAAATAAAATCCTAAGAATTAAAAAAAGTGTTATACCTCTTTGTCTCTACTGTGCCTGATGTGCCTTGTACCAACTAGACCTTTAAAAAAAAACTATTTGCTAAACAAATAGTTTCTTAATAACTCTCGAGTATGCTTTGGCTAATATTAACATCCCAGAACCAAAATACACTTTTAATATAAACCAGGGTTTCATAAAGTGTAGAACCTCAGATGATCCATGGGCAAACTTTCTTTGGCTTAATACTTATGCATACCTCTTCCCAGAAAAACAAACAGGCAGGGAAAGTCCCTCTCACCTGCTAGCCGCCACGACCCAGCCTGTGTTCTCTCTCCCTCTAGTACCTCCTTGCCCTCACAAAGCTGCGTTCACCCTGTCACCGCTTAACATACCCAATTTGGGGCCGGGCACGGTGGCTCACGCCTATAATCCCAGCACTTTGGGAGGCCGAGGCAGGTGGATCACGAGGTCAAGAGGTCGAGACCATCCTGGTCAACATGGTGAAACCCCATCTCTACTAAAAATACGAAAATTAGCTAGGCATGGTGGCACGTGCCTGTAATCCCAGCTACTCAGGAGGCTGAGGCAGGAGAATTGCCTGAACCCAGAAGGCGGAGGTTGCGGTGAGCCGAGATCGCGCCATTGCACTCCAGCCTGGGTAACAAGGGCGAAACTCCGTCTCAAAAAAAAAAAAAAAAAAAAAAAAATCCAATTTGATTTGCCTTAATTATTTAACTGTGATTTTCTTATAAAATCAGCAAAGTTAAAACTAACAAAGACGTAGGTACAACATCTGCAGTGCCAACTTTCCTATTTTGTGGGTGTTTGGCACTTGGCAGTGGAGGCATAACAGCTATAATGAGTTATCTCCTTACCGGGCAGTTAGAGGTAAAGACATCAAGATGCTTTCAATTCTGGATCCTGGAGTGAAGAGGCCAAACTTTGTGCCCCGATCATACAGCAGATTAAATTCTACATACCTGTCATAAATACATCAAACAACATTAAGGGCCAGCTCCATAAAATCTTAAGACTAACCCACAACAAATACTTAAAAAGGGGTGGGTTCTTTCCCCCAGTTCTCATCAGCTGGAGCTGGCACAGAGGATACCAGCCTACAGCCCACTGAGAGCTCTCCATCTGGACAGGCAGAAATAAAACGGTATTCTACCCCACAAACAAAAGAACACAGATTCTGCTCCAACATAGAGCAGTTACAATACAAGGTTATGTTTTCTCATAAACAAACAGAATTGACACACAGCTGAGAAGTTAAGACACAACAACAATTAAGAAAAAGAAATGGCACCCCTTTTCAGGATAACCCAGCTCCTTCTGGCCTTCCTCATAGTCTGGGATGTTTCAGATCTAAGATATCATTTCACGGCCTATAACTGACAAGTACTACTACTAAGATGGTGTAATTCTGCATCTGAAAGGCCAACTACAGCTAACAACAATTTATTAATAATAGATTAAGATATTCTATATATTCTTTCTTAAAGTAGTTAATTGCATTAATAAGCAGTCATATAATTTGGTCTCTCTGTAGATAAAGAGCAATCATAATAAAAGGTAGTGTTGAGTTGCAGCTTTTTTTAAATACCCTTATCATCAACTAAAACTTGGTTCAGTATATTAACTGCTATAGTCAAAGCTAGACTCCATGCAGCTTAAAAACCTGTATCTGCCTTTAACATAGGATGTAAAAGGGTCTCCCTCTCCAATTTCAAAAGGATAATTTCTACTACTCAAAAGAATTTAGAATGATTCATAAATCTGAAAAGTTCAATAAACAGTGCCCCTTTCAGATCATTTCTTATCTCATTCAGAAATTATTCCCTTGGTCTGAACTTCACTCACATATTCTTATTTACCTACTAGTTACTGTCTTGATGTCAATCTATAGCAAAAGATTCTCTAGATTCCCACAATACTTTAACTTTTAAAAAGCACCTTTTTATGTGGAACTTGTCAAAAGCCCTGCAAAAATGTAAAGAATTTTATCTGGCCGGGTGCGGTGGCTCAAGCCTGTGATCACAGCACTTTGGGAGGCCGAGGCGGGTGGATCACGAGGTCAAGAGTTCGAGACCATCCTGGTCAACATGGTGAAACCTCGTCTCTACTAAAAATACATAAAAGTAGGTGGGCATGGTGGCACACACCTGTAATCCCAGCTACTCAGGAGGCTGAGGCAGGAGAATTGCCTGAACCCAGGAGGCGGAGGTTGCGGTGAGCCAAGATCGTGCCATTGCACTCCAGCCTGGGTAACAAGAGTGAAACTCCATCTCAAAAAAAATTTAAAAAAAAAGAATTTTATCTATAGCTCCCTTTCTAATCCTCACCATTTACCATTGAGTTTTATGTACAAATAACTATTTAATACCTTCTTATGTCTGTTTCAAAAGATAATTTAAGTGAATCTTCTGAATCCTTTTCTAACCCCATGGGAAATAATTCCATATTTTGGGTACCTTTTTCACCTGATACTACCTTTCTGAAACAGGTAACTAGTCAGGACTGCAGTATTAGAAACCAAAGACAGTGTCGATAGTTCTAGAGAAGAGCTGGGGTTATCCTAGGCCCCAGAGTTTACTGCCATCTTAAGGTCCAGAGATAAGGGAGGCAGAAAGAAGCTGTCTTTGAAGAACAGTCACACACCACACCATAGAAAATTAATCTAACATCCCACACTTCTGCCTATCTCATGACACCAGACATGCAATAATACACACACAGTGACTTTCAGAATGACCTGCCATCAAGCAATGTAAAACAAAACCACAAAACAAACCATTACTCCTGTCTATGATGTTTCAAAGGATTTACCTAATTAGCATTCACAAAATCTGCCGGCTTTGCCTATGAAATCCTGTGCAAAACTAGAACACTTAACACAGAGTTCTAAATTGTCCTCTTAGGTATGTCTACCCACTAAACTATGAGGCTCTTTTTGGCGGGTCCATGTTATGGCCACCTGGTAGCCAAGATAGTGCCTCATCTTAGGGGCCCAAAAATAAATATCAAGTGAAAGAAGGAAAGAGTGGTAGATGTATATTCAAGAAAGTATGGAAATGAACAAAAAAAAAAATGTTCAAAAATAGATGCATTAAGAAATTTCTAAAAAAAAAAATTATTCTCATGTTTTTCAAGTTAATAAATGGGAAGCAGATAACACAGGCAGTCATAAGAAGGATATATACAAATGTTTATCTTAGACTTGGAATGTTATTTAGGTTGACCTCTTCATGGCAAAAGGTTTACCTCCTTAGAACCCAAAACTTCTTCTGCCTGACACAGAATTAACATCAGTAAGAAAATCCATTTTATAGCCATGTTCCAGTAGGACACAGGCAGTGAAGGTAGTAATGAGACACTGATCGGGGCCAGCTGGCTGTACAACTTGGAGTGGATTTACAAGTACACAGGCGGCTGGAGATCACCTCAGGCTGGATACCCACTGAGCTTGCCAGGCTCACTGCGCAGAGCAGCGTGGCTAAGGTGAGTATCACGGTAAGAATCACAAACCTGCTTCAACTGGTTAGCTTTATATACTACACAGACTACAAGTTTTGAAGTCATTTTGACCCAGTCACACATCTGAGATCTTATATTTACCAGCTGTGTTTCTTGAGCAACAGACTAATTTTGTGAAAAAAGATGATTACACCTATCTTACGGGTTTGATGAAAAACATCAGCCACAAAATGCTTAACATAGAGGCTGGCAGCATTTCTGAAATTATTTCCATTAAAATAACTTCTGTAAAATCTTTTAAGATGAATGAGGGCCGGGCGCGGTGGCTCAAGCCTGTAATCCCAGCACTTCGGGAGGCCAAGGCGGGTGGATCACAAGGTCAAGAGATCGAGACCATCCTGGTCAACATGGTGAAACCCCGTCTCTACTAAAAATACAAAAAAATTAGCTGGGCATGGTGGCGCGTGCCTATAATCCCAGCTACTCAGGAGGCTGAGGCAGGAGAATCACCTGAACCCAGGAGGCGGAGGTTGCGGTGAGCCAAGATCGCGCCATTGCACTCCAGCCTGGGTAACAAGAGCGAAACTCCGTCTCAAAAAAAAAAAAAAAAAGATGAATGAAAAAAGGTATGATTCCAAATTTAAAAAGCAGCAGACATTAAGTGATGCCCACATCTTGACATAAGGCTGCAGGGTATTACTAGAAGACTAACTAAAAGCAATCGGCAGAATTAAATTCAGCAAGTACTTAACTACGTAAGTCTACTACGCGTCTCTAATGTACAGACGAATTAAACTTTGCTATATTTATAATGCAACTTTATACAATGTCTTTTAATTCGTTTAATACTCATCTAGCTATGAAAAGAAATTCACACAACGATTACAAAGTATCTGACAACACAACACCCGCTGTTATTAAGAGCTGCTCCACCTCCCCCAGTCATGCCATGAAAGAATCCATTCTCCAGTCACTCACCGTCCCCTTCTGAGCTGCTGCCACAGCTTCTCCTGGGGGGTGAATGGCTCCTCACAGTGCTTTTTCACAAGGGGAATATAAGAAGGCACAACAGCCTTGGCGCAGCTCTGCACAAAGCGAAACACCTCCTCCTTGGACGGAGAGTCAAGATCATCAAAGAAGATACCACCGATGCCCCGCCTCTCTCCACGGATGGGCTATAAAGAAGTAATCATCACACCTGGAAAACACAGCCGGCCAAACCAGGGATCAAATGGAAAAAAGACACATGAAAATCAGTGTGAGCTTTTCAGGTTACAGCACTATGCTCAACTAATCTCAGCACAGTGTCCTTACTTGCTGCCCAACTACGAAAATGAAATGAGGACCTTTAGACAGATTTTTTTGCAGATATCACCAACGTAGAAAATGCTTATCCTCTTATCTTCAAAGCAACCAGACAACTGAACACAAGTCTAGGTAAAGGATGTGAACTCTAACAACTTTAGTGAAAAGAGAAACACTCCAATATTGATACTGTATTCGTTGGAACCAGTGATGCTGCTACCTTCAGAAGCACTGCTGCTTTCGTAGGAGGCAGGAAGACAGGAACCTTCCACTAACAATGAGACCAACCATGTTGCAAATCCAGCTCCCTTGAGTTCTTTATTCACCAAAGGAAGGTACTATAAACAATCTCTCAGGTTTTCTTCAGCAATAAAATTTGATGGTTCTATAGCATGAACAACAGAGCAAAAAGCTGGCAGAAAAAAAGTTCAGAGAATAGTTTTTATTCTTTCATATGTCATATCAGACATATGAAAGCTTACCCTGTGAGGCAGCACATAAAACTATTCATCTGTTCTTGAGTCTCCTCCCCTCTGTGTCTACTAGAACAGGTTTCTTAAGAAGCCATTTCCTAACTGCTAAACTTGTAAAATACAATACTTTACATCAGGCGTCCCCAAACTACGGCCCGGCCCATTTATCTGGCCCCCCGCCGCACTTCAGGAAGGGGCACCTCTTTCATTGGTGGTCAGTGAGAGGAGCACAGTATGTGGCGGCCCTCCAACGGTCTGAGGGACAGTGAACTGGCCCCCTGTGTAAAAAGTCTGGGGACGCCTGCTTTACATCCTAGAAGCAGTTCTTTTGATAATCACTGCATAAAGGTCCCTAAATGGAAAAATGTGTTCAAACAAAAACTAAAAGCTATGTAAAAGGTCACCTTAAATACAGCTTCAATTGCTTAAAAAACAACAAAAAGCAACAGCTGCAAATCCCTAGAACTGACAGATCAGTAGAATTCACCTCAACTGTGACTCGTTGGCTTTCTTTACATGTACACTTTATTAACATGGTCTAAAAAAGTATATCCTGAGCGAGGTTGTAAAGTTAGCTCTTAACCCAAGTTATACTATTTCAAAATGTCGCTTCAAAAAATTCTAAAATTAAGTGATCTATTAAACACTTATTTCCTGGTAGGTTTTCCATTGCTTATAACAGAATAGCTGAAACTGCATAATTTATAAATAAAAGGAACTTACTTTCTTATAGTTACAGAAGCTGAGAAGTCCAAGGTTGAGGGGCTTCATCTAATGTGCTGGCATCTCCCTCTAGCGGTTCTCCAACCCTCCCCATGCCCTTACACATTCCCAAGTCAACATCAGGATAATTCTCATTTGGAATGAGAATTTAACATCCCACTCTAGATTAAAGAGCCTCTCATTCTCAAGCATAGATCCCCTTAGAGTTTACAGTCTACCATTCTAAATCATTTGGAATAAAAAGATGTTACTGCTCAATTTATACTATATTTACATTATAATATTCCTAAGTAAATAATTTAATAAAAACACTTAAAACTAGCATTCTAATTCTTCTGATGAGCAAAGTAAAAAAAAAAAAAAAAAAGTCCCATTTTCACATGTAGAAGAAGATATTTAGTGACAGTGTCCTTCACAAGGAATGGAATGTAATTTTGGGGTCATGAAAGTTCAGTTCTTTCACCTACCATTTTTTAAATTTGGGGTAGAGATCTGAACCATGCTGGTCACAAGCCTCCTTTAGAGTTCTGTGGAAATGGACAGCATCTTCTTGGTTCAGGTATGTTGGGGTGAGGTCACATCCACCACCAAACCACCACTGCTTGTTACCTACAAAATCAAGACATGGGATTCTCATGTGGACTTTGAGATTCAGCATCACTGGCTATCTTAGGAAATTTAATTTAGCAGCTTAATTTATTAAGCATAAAATGGATGACAATAAAAAAACATTTTAACTGATTTTAGCTCTGAAGACCAGTAAGGTCTAGGCAGAACAAAAGAGGTAAAAGCAGCTGGGTGCAGTAATCCCTGCTTAGTAATCCCAGCACTTTGGGAGGCCAAGGCAGGCAGGATCACCTGAGGGACATCGAGACCAGCCTGGCCTACATGGTGAAACCTCGTCCCTACTAAAAATACAAAAATTAACCAGGCATGGTGGCAGGAATCTATAATCCTATCTACTTGGGAGGCTGAGGCAGGAGAATCGCTTGAACCAAGGAGGTAGAGGTTGCAGTGAGCTAAGATTAAGCCGTTGCACTCCAACCTGGGTGACAAGAGTAAGACTCTGTCACAAAAAAATAAATAATAGTAATAATAATAAGCAACAGAACAACAAGTAAAAAAAAAGTAAAAGCAGAAAGGAAGAAAGCCGCCGGGCGCGGTGGCTCAAGCCTGTAATCCCAGCACTTTGGGAGGCCGAGGCGGGTGGATCACGAGGTCGAGAGATCGAGACCATCCTGGTCCACATGGTGAAACCCCGTCTCTACTAAAAGTGCAAAAAACTAGCTGGGCATGGTGGCGCGTGCCTGTAATCCCAGCTACTCAGGAGGCTGAGGCAGGAGAATTGCCTGAGCCCAGGAGGCGGAGGTTGCGGTGAGCCGAGATCGCACCATTGCATTCCAGCCTGGGTAAGAAGGGCGAAACTCTGTCTCAAAAAAAAAAAAAAAAAAAAAAGAAAGGAAGAAAGTCAAAGGTTACTCGCAAAGAACGACAGGCAGGGCAGTGAAGGATAAAACAGCATACTGGTGGATCAGGAAGTAGATTGCAACTCTAGCTGTATATGAGAATCACATGAGGAGCTTAATATAGCTCTTCTGAGCACCATTTAAAAAAAAACCAAAAACCACACATCTCTGGCCCAGGAATCTGTCGTTTATAAAAGCTCCCCAGGAGATTCTCACACTCCTTGTATTAAGAACCACTGCCACCCGTCCCCTTTCCTAGAAAGAGTAAAAACACTTGCTGACGCGACTTACCGCTTGAGAGTAAGTGTTTCACGTGCTCACAGGTGTATGAGCTGTCAATACCAGTTATCAATTTTAAACATAAAAGGCTGAACAAAACTGAACGACTTCAAAATGAAAAGTTAAAGCAGTGACTTCAGACGCCTTCACCTACAGCAACACCACCAGGGGCAGGCGTGGCACTGCATAGGTGCTCCGACAGGTGGTATCAGATAAGAAACGGGCTGGGACTACGAACTACATGCACAGGACGCAGAATCAACTGCATCCCACTTTAACCCACTGCTAATGCACTGGTGACTAGCAAAGCCATGTACATGTAAAACATTTTCCCAGAACAAGTTCTCAATTTCAACTTAACCTCGTACATAAGGTGCTCCTTCAGATGTAATGAATTTATATTTGCAAAGAACCCTAGGTGCACCCTGAAGTTCAGATTCGTTAAATCATTCCTTATATGTTGGAGGAAATACGGGAAGGTCAGAGTCAATCAGTATTATTCTTTTTTTTTTTTTTTTTTCCCCTGAGACAGAGTCTCTGCCACCTAGGCTGGAGTGCAGTGGCACAACCTCTGCTAACTGCAACCTCCGCCTCCCAGGTTCAAATGCATCTTCTACCTCAGCCTCCTGAGTAGCTGGGACTACAGGCACGTGCCACTGCGTCCAGCTAATTTTTTGTATTTTTAGTAGAGATGGGGTTTCGCCATGTTGGCCAGGCTGGTCTCGAACTCCTGACCTCAAGTGATCCGCCCGCCTCAGCCTTCCAAAGTGCTGGGATTACAGGTGTGAGCCACCGTGCCCAGCCCCATTCTCACTCATCATGTCTTGTGCATAATCCACTGCACTTGCCAAGAAATTGCCTTTATATGCCTCCTGAAAGACCTATTTAAGACTATTTACTCTTTCTCATTTTTAGATGTTATGCCCTCTCATCTGTTTTAAAACGCACATTGCACAATAGTACTTTCCACAGCTCCTGAGATCCTTACCATCAGCTTCTTCTACTTCAAAGTATCTGTAGTTGAAATGGATAGTAGGAGCATGAGGATTCTTGGGGTGGATGACAGAACTCACGCCCATAGCACAAAATGGCAATTTACCTGGAAAGCAAAATACGAGTAGTGAGCTATATTCAGTTACTCTGAATGACTTGAAACAGTCTAACTCTAATATGACTTCTAAGTCAATTTTCAAAAGCTGCTTTTTAATTTGTCTCTTAAAAACATAATTTTTAAAAAGGAATTGTCAACACGTGGCATATGAACCCAAATGGCTTTTTTCAGAAGCAATATTTATTTTATAAATAAAACTTGTGGGCAAAATAAGGTTTGCAGGGACTAGAAAAGACTATCAAGATTGTCCGACTTAGGCCGGGCGCGGTGGCTCAAGCCTGTAATCCCAGCACTTTGGGAGGCCGAGGCAGGTGGATCACGAGGTCAAGAGATCGAGTCCATCCTGGTCAACATGGTGAAACCCCGTCTCTACTAAAAATACAAAAAACTAGCTGGGCGTGGTGGCGCGTGCCTGTAATCCCAGCTACTTAGGAGGCTGAGGCAGGAGAATTGCCTGAGCCCAGGAGGTGGAGGTTGCAGTGAGCCGAGATCGCGCCATTGCACTCCAGCCTGGGTAACAAGAGCGAAACTCCGTCTCAAAAAAAAAAAAAAAAAAAAAAAAGATTGTCCGACTTACCATCTTTAGTCTTCAGAATTTTTCCTCTGCTTCTCATTTGTTTCGCTGCTTCCTCAGAAAGATTTCCATGAACAACAGAAATGCTCACCCCAGCCTTTTCGAAAACGCGCCCATCCTGAAGTACACAGCTGATACCGCCACCTCCTGTGTACAGAAATGTAAAATAAGGAGAGAATGTAAGAGTAGGTGCAAAACTGAAAGCAACCCTGGCATGAAGATGGTTACTTTCCTCCTGTTTCCCAATCTTTTATATCAGTGTATTTATTATTTTATGTACAATAAAATTAGGTAACTAGCTTAGCTTTATGACATACACTATTAATATTGGGCACATACTGGACCTTCTTATATCACTAAACTGAGTATTTCTTCAACATTCTCCTGCCATCATCTAAAATCAATCCCTGGAATATTCTACCTTCATATACTACTGTTCAGAACGGAATCCAACAGTTACGATATATGAGAGAAGGCTAAGGTAAAAAATAGGAATGGGTAGACTTGAAGGGTGTTCTACTATTACTGAATTTAAGAGATCAATATTGTTTCAAAAATTTCTTCTCAGTGTGCTGCTTGACTTTTAATTTGATTTACAGGCAATTAAGAAACAGTTGATATTCAAACTCTGAAAAAATTCAGAACCTTAAAATGAGTGAGACACACATTAGTATTCAGGTGTATGAGCCTTACTATTCATTTTTTTCTTAAGGTACTAACTAGGGTCACTGCAAGGGCATTGTTTCATCAAATTTCATGTTTGGCTTGTTTTATTCCTAAGAACATTTAGAGCTGGATAGGACATAAGACGATCCTGTACAACCCTAATATTCCCAATGAGAAAACTGAGGACCAGAGAGGCAAAATATCTTATCCTAGATCTAACTGCTGACCAGTGGCTGAAACAATCTGTCTAAATGCTGTCCGTTTCAGACAATACTCTAAGCACTTCACAGGTATTCCATCCATATACATGTGTAGTATGAGGGTTAAATGAGATGAAATACAGACATGTGTATTTTATAGATGGGAAAACAGCCATAAAAGAGTAACCTCTAAGGGTCACACAGCTAGTCTCGTACCTGAGGTTGTGTCCTGGTTCAGTGGTCTTTGCTTGAAAACATTACAAGACAGAAAACTAGACTCAACTTCATTCAATATAGATGTGGCAATACCACAGATCAAAATCTGCTGGTGAGAAGTTGCTGTTGTATTTCCAGCTAGGAAAAGTCAGGAATCCTTCAAGTTTCCACTCAAGATGTGGGGTTTCACTGTATGGGCAACAACGTGTCATGCATGTATGCCTCGATGAGAACTGGATGTTGATGCTCAAGTATTTTGCCATTGAAAGGGAAGATTTTCCTAGCAGGAAAGCTGATGAGTGCATTTGGTAGCGCTACTGAGAAACCAATGGAATATATCTTGCGCAATAGTAAAAAGAAGTGGGAAGAGTCTGACACAATGACACCCTAGCTGGAGGAGCTTAGCTGACACTTAGCGAGCAGATGAGTTCTTTCCATCTCCTAAAAAGGAAAAAGGGCAAATTCACCCAGAAAAGGCCAATGTGTTTCATAATCTATTGAAATTTATGTTCAATAGCAAACTTTGGACATCTAAGCTTGTTACTTGCAAATACCACTTAAGATTTCTACAAAGCACGCTGCTGTGGAATTGCAAAGATTCTGAAATGCAGTACTCGAGTGACAGCTGATCCGTGTCCACACCTGCAAGCAGAGGGCTGGCGACCCTTGCAGCGTCCCTCTTTTCATCGGCAGCCTCGAACCAGGCAGCCTCTCTGTGGGTACCCGCCACCTGCTACCCCATCCCGCACTGCGAACTATGATGTCTTCTGTCTGCAGCCTGGAACCCGACCTCTTTAACCCCCGTCTCCCCCTTCCGCCAGCGGCCGCCTTCCTTACCCTCCTTCCTCTCCCACCGGTCCACAGAGAAGCCGGCGCCGCCGTCTACCTGTGCCAGAGCCTGGCACACCTGCGCCTGGGTCTCCAGGATCAGCAGCTCCATCTTGGTCTTCACGTCGGCCGGCCTCCTCCGCAGCTCGCCCAGGTCGGTCACGGGCGCGGCCATGAAGCGGCGGCAGCGGCGGGCCAGCTCGTCGTCCTCCTCCGGCCTCCGCAGCGGCGGCTCCCGCGCCCCCGAGCTCCTGGGCACCATCTCCGCGCGCTGCACGTGCCCGAAGGCGGCGGCGGCCAGCCCCAGCAGCCCCGCCAGCGCCGCGGCCAGCCCGGTGCCCTGCCAGGTGCCGCCGCTCGCCGCGGGGACGCGCCCCAGCCCGCGGCTCTGCCCCGTGCCCGCCGGGCCGGCTGCGGGGCGCGGGGACCGGGCGCAGAGCCCCCCGCAGCCGCCCCGCGCCGCGCGCCAGCAGGAGCCCGCGCTCAGCCTGCCCAGCTGCAAGGCCATGCTCCCGCGCGGCCACCCCGGGCGGCGCCTGGGTCCCAGAGTCGGGCCTCGGAGCCCCGCGGGAGTCCCGAGCCCGCGCGCCGCGCGGGAAGAAGGAGCCTCTCTGGGAGGGCCGCCGCCGCGTCGGGCTCCGGCGGCGCGGGCGCGAGGCGGGGCACGCCGGGAGTTGTAGTCCCCTCCTATCGCCGCCTGCAGCGTCCCGGCGCGAAGCGGGGCACGCCGGGAGTTGTAGTCCCCTGCTATCGCCGCCGGCGGCGTCCCGGCGCGGGCGGGAGATCGGAATCCGGGGCGCCCGGAAGGGCCGGACTGCGGCGGGGAGCGCGGGCGGGGCGCGCTGCGGAAGCCGCCGGAGAGATAAGACGGGCTTTCGGGTCCCGTGCGGCCTCGGGGCGGGAGGGAGTGGGGCTGGGAGGCCGAGGGCGGGCCGCGCGGGCCTGCGGCCGAGGCCGTCGTCGCCTGACGTTTTCAAACGGAGCTTGCAGAAGGCGGACCCCGGCCCGGGGTGTGCGCTGGGTCCCGGGCCGGGCCGAAGGGCGGGTTTCTGGAGGGCGGGAGAAGCGAGCCCGGGCGGAGACTCCCCGCGACCCGTGCACCCCGCCCGCCGCTCCGTCCCCGCGGCGTCCCGGGCGCTGCGTCCGCGCGGCGCGCTCGTTTCGGAAGGCGGGAGGGCGGCGCGGGTGCGCTCGGCGGGGGGGGTCCCGGGCCTGCGGCGTTCGGCTGCCGAACAGATCGGAATCTTGAAAACAGTTATTCAGGCCGGGCGGGTGGCTCACGCCTGTCATCCCGGCACTCTGGGAGGCCGAGGCGGGCGGATCACGAGGTCGAGAGATCGAGACCATCCTGGTCCACATGGTGAAACCCCGTCTCTACTAAAAATAAAAAAAACTAGCCGGCCATGGTGGCGTGTGCCTGTAATCCCAGCTACTCGGGAGGCTGAGGCAGGAGAATTGCCTGAGCCCAGGAGGCGGAGGTTGCGGTGAGCCGAGATCGCGCCATTGCACTCCAGCCTGGGCAACAAGAGCGAAACTCCGTCTCAAAAAAAAAAAAAAAAAAAAAAAAGAATTTTAAAAATGGTTGTCCTACCGTAGGGCGCTCTCAAATATTGCTCACGTTGAGCACTTAGAACCACGGCCGCACACTAGGCAGGGCAGACGTCCATACTCCTCCCACCCTGCCTCCCTTCCCCACCCTTTGAAGACACGAGGACAGAAGCCAACAGATTGGACAGGCGGCTCTTTGTCCCCGCTGGAACCACACCACGGCCTCACGGTTCCTGGGCGCAGAAGGGTGAGAGCTATTGCCATGGGCTCATCTGACCCCCAAGTCTCCACGATGATTGTAATTCCTAGTAGTAGATGATGATGTAAGCCGCTGGTAGCTGTTGCCACAAGTTTTTTCTTAGTGGCGGGATGCACTGATGGAATCCCGATGGCTTTTGAGTCAGACCAGTTGGTATCTTACCCACCCACAGCGGCGCCTGGCAGTTCTCCCACTGGGACGTGATGTTAGCAAGGTGGCTGTGCTTGCCCAAGCCTCGCCACTGAGAATCAGTGGAAAGTCAAGGCTTGGGTTGAGAAGTGACTAAGCTACTTTTACGGAAGAAAAACGATCAGCTTTTAGCCAAAGCACAACCTGCCAGGAGGTCAAGTTAGAAACGGAGGCAAGGAAATGAGAATGATCGTTGTAGGAAGGGTTGATGCCCTCTTCCGGGTGCCTGTGATTCGGGTTGGGATGGGCCTGGTGATGAGAAATGAAGCTCTTCAAATGAAAAGGAGCCTCTCTGCTCCGTTTATTTGTAAGAAGCCCCTTCATTATTTCTCTAATTCTGCAAATACCCGTAAGGTTACTAAAAGCTAAGTAAGAACAGACTGTTTTGAAAATTCGCCCAGTCACAAAGGCTGACGCTGAGCAAATTGTGTCCTAGCTTCCAGGTTTCCGTCCCTCTCATCCTTAGCCTTTCTATGCAAAGGGCCTCTCTCGACCCTTCCTCTGGTTCCCAACACCCTACCTACTGGCAACCTGTTGTTTAATCCGTAAGAACGCTTCAATAGCTTGGTTAGTGTGAGTTTAAATCACCTTTCTGGGGGTTCACATTGTTCCCAAGTGGGATACTTGTATTTAAGTCATATTTGTCAGTGTGGAGGAAAAAAAAAAAGATATCACCGATCTAAGTAATTTCTTACATCAGAAAACTAGTTGGGACAAATAAAAAGTTTCTAATTAGTTGTAGAAAGTAAGGTGTAAATTAGAAGTTCTCATCTATGTTTTAGCTCCGTTTCTCGCATCACTTTACAACTTTATTTTTTATGTGATCCTATCACAAAAGTGATTCTGACTAGCCTTAGAGGTATTAGTATTAAATATTATTTTTCAAAATCCACATGCTTCTCAGAATCCTTATGAGCTTTTCCTTCTCCTAAAACCCTGTTGAACATAGCTTATTTTAGGCCTGCTGGTGCATATTAGAGTTCTAATGTTAATCCCTCTGGTAGCTTTACTGCCTTCTAACAACGCGCGCGCACACGCATCACACACACACACACACACACACACACACACACACCCTGCTTTCTCACTATTTTTACTAAACTATATTATTTTCAACAATTACCAAATTCTGAAAGCCAAAGTTAAGAAATGTATTGCTAAATTCACTTAGCTCTGTTGCTTTCAGATAGATACAGAAACTCAGGTTAATTAGTAACAAAATATTACGGAAAATCTGTGTTTACCTTGGCATGCTTCTGCCCAACTCATCAGAAATTTTGGTGGGGTGATGGTAAGATGAGAACAGGAAGTAGAATCTTTAAAATAGTTAACTCATTTTTTTGTCCTAGAACTTGTATTTTAAACTTTTAGGTCTATAGTAGCAAATGCTTACACAGATCATTAAAACAATTGGTTCTTAAAGCTGTATATAGCCTAAATATCCAATACAATTGAGTGTTGTTGACTTGCTTTTTCTTTAACTGGTGTAATTTTAAAATTATTTTTTCACAAATGTATAGATAACATTTCAGGGAGATTTTATGTAAGGGACCAACTCATGTTACCTAACCTTTCAGTCCCCTTAGCTTCTCCCTAATTCTTCCCTATGGTAATATTGATGGTAATGTCTGGAGTTGCAGCAACCATTTTGTGACTAAGACTCTGAAAGTTCCATGTCAAAGTTTGTGGAGCAGTTAGATAGAAGGAGTCTGAGTCCTGATGACATCCTTGAGCAGATACCCCAGCCCTGGGCTGCCTACCTTTGAACTTCTTGTCATATGAGGAAAAAATAATTTAAGAAAGTGTTTGTCAGGTGTTTTGTTGCCACTTACGTCTTTCTGATACAGACCTTTTCTCACTGTGGTTCAAATATCTACCCTGGGACCAACCAATAAAAAATAGCCATGAGTAAAAAAAGTGGCATCATGTAAGAACATGAGCTCTCCCATTAGTGTTTTGTGGTAGGGAAGTTGGTGAGTATGTGGAATATCATTTCTCAAAAAAGAGAAATGTGATGAACAGAAAGTACCATAAATCATCAATGCCCACAATAGGGACAAGCTTTGAATGTGATTCTAGGGTTTTGAGCCTGCATATCTAAGATTAACAAAAGTAGGGAATTTAGAAAGAAGAACTAGCAAGTACAGAGCAGAAGTTTATTGGGAGAACAGGAAATCATCAGTTTGATAGGGACAATGAGTAACGGAGATATTCCCACTAGCTGAGCTAAAGCTCTGTGACTGTTCCATTTGTCCAGGTACAGGAGCTTCCTGACCACTCCATCCCTTCAGTATAAAAATGTTCTTACCATCCATTCTCAGAGTCTTAAAAATGTTATGGAACCAAAAGGGTGGGTCATCTGAGAAGACGCTGAGGACAAAGTGTTGGGATATAAATATAGGTATTCCTCTCGTGAGGCAATCAAAGACCAATGGGTATTGGGTATCTGTTGAGTAGTCCTCATCAGACAGAATAGAAAAGATATTTAATATTGTCCCTGTACCTGCCTCCATGATGCTTTCAGGGCACTTGCAACCAGTAGTACTTGCTCAAGAAACATGAAGCTACGTCCACTTTTGGCATTGAGAGTTCGTCTCTTCTGGTGGACTGGAATACTCTCTTGAAAATTACATATTTAAGACCATTTACTTTAGGCCCATATCAATATCCATTTAAACTTGAGAGTCAAAAATCAATTCTCTTTGTTTTCTGCATCTATCTAGAGTGATCTTTTCTCCCACTTTTAACTCTTCAGCCTGGGCCAGGAGCTGGTTCTAGAATTAATGTGTTTGAATGAATGCAGGAGGAGGGGAAAATGCATTTGAAATACTGTCTTACTGCAGACATGTTGAACTTTGATGTTAGTAGTGTAAAAATGGAAATATGAGGCCAGAAAGGATGAGGGCTGGAAAGATACATTTTTGAGATACTCACTGTGCTGGGATGATGAGCTCATCCAGAAGAACTCTTAAAACAAAAAGATAAAGGGCTCAATGTCAGAACATGGGACAACAGACACATTGAGGGACAAAAAGCAAGAAGTCATGGGACCTTGAGTGTGATGTCACAGAAACATGGAGGGAGACAGCATCAAAGATGAGAATGTAGTCAGCAGGCAGAAAGCTTTACTCTCTGATCAACCAGAAAACAGAAGTACTGAGTAGAGGCTAGGGGAAATTATGAAGTCACTGGCTGTTTTTGAAACAAGAGCTTTGGAAAACCTGTTGAGGTGGCAGCTGAAATGAAAGAACATACAGTAGCTCAGGGTGGGAAGTTGTAATGTTGATCTTTTATTTGGAGCGAAAGACTAGAGCGTGGTTCTGTTTGTTTTTGCTGAAGGAAGTGAGGCAACAGGGAGAACTAAAAATACAAGACTATACACCACTCAGAGACCTCATGGCCTGTCTAGAGGTTTTATTTTCTTCTCTTCCCAAATTGCACCATTCAGGCTGCATTCGGGGAGTGTAAAGGTCAACAGGAATGGGAAAGAGGATTGAGCAAAGAAATAGCCATTTGAGGTTCCAACATACATAACCTTCAAAGGACCTGCCTGGCTTTCTCCAAATGGTTG